GCCAGGTGGGGGGTGGGGGGGCACAGGGCTCCATCCCCACCCGCTCCCCTCCCTGCCCCCATCATTCTTGATGGGCATTTGGCTAGTATAACATATCAGTAGTACCAGCAGTGTATATTGCTTCATCTGTTACATTAAATGAACGATGTAAAACTCAGACAAATAACACATAAAACACAATTTTTCAAAATCAAGTTTCTGAAGTGGATTTTTTCTTCAAAGCTATTGTCCAGGGCATTAAAAAAAAGTCAATGATTTGGTCAAAAAAATGGTTTTAGTGAAATGAAATAGCTTTCTCTGACAAAAAAAAAGTTTCAATTAAAATTTTCCAGCCCATCTGCCATATGCCAGATGCATCAATGGCTGACAGAAAACATTATAGAGCTGTCAGGTTTTAAAGGAATTGATGTTATTCTGTAGCGTCAGTGCCTTATGAACCATTCTGCTTTCTCATGCTCCAGAGCAGTTGCAAGTGCTGACCACTTTTTGACCTCCAGAGCAAGAACCTAAGTGATTATGTATAAATGCTTACTATCCATGTATCAGACTGAAGACCTGCCAATAAATTTTTACTTTGGCAATGTGAGGGGTAATGAAAGTAAACCAATTTAAGGATATTAATCTGCATGCATTAAATATTGCAAAAAATGTATGGGTATTCTCTCTCCGTCATTAAGAACTTCCTTACTGTTTTGAATATTAATTATCGATCAGGATAATTCATAAGTTAGGCAAGCGGAATGTTGTTTGAAGACAAACTGGCTTAGCACACATATGGCCACTGTATAAAAAGACAGAAGCCAGGTTGCTTGGTTTTGGGTTTTTTTTAATATTATGAAAAATGTATCTGGCAGAGAATCTAGTATCAATTAGGCTTTGCCAAGTAAGAGTCCTGTTAGTTTGAATGTGGATGTGGTACAATAGTGCCCTCTAATGGATGGACTGCAATATGTCAGACTTGCTCAAGTCTGATTGCCACACTGCCTATTGGTAAAATCCCTGTAATGAGACTACATCATAAGTTCTACTATTAGTGACACTGAATAGATATTGCTCTTTAACTTGAGTGATAAAAGTCTGCATCTTTAAACAGAAGGTTGAATTTTATTTCCTAGACTGCAGGTATTAACTGAACCTGCTGCTTTTCTCTGCGCTATCTATTGTGAAAATCTGTAAGCAGCAGGTAACAGCATGGCTGGTTTACTAACAGCTAATACAATTCATGTCTTTCAACAGATAATTGCATACATCTCTCACTGTCTCCCTCACACACAAGTAGCTGTTCCTTTAATTTGAAAACACAACCTTCTTTCGGCAGGTTTAGGTGTCTCAGCTTTTATTTTGAGCTGGATCCATTAAAGAGCTTCTTCATATCTGGCCTCACTTAGGCACCCGGGCTCCCTACACAGTGTATGGGGAGAGCCAGGTGCCTCAGAATAGGATCCAAAACAGCCAGCAGGTTGGGCAGGGAGCTGCTTAGAACAAGCCATTAGGAACCATTAAGGATCGGGGGTGTCTGAAATCCCACCCCTCACCAAAGATTAAGCACCCGATTCAGGGTTCCAGTAAATTGCTTCTATTAGTTTAAGATCTACAGCCTGGAGCCCTTTCCTGAGAGCAGGCATCTACAACAATTCTTTCCATGAACTAAGCAGGGCTCATTCTCTTCTCCCTTGTATTGACCTGTGGGGCGTAACTGTTGGTGGTTAGAACACTAATAATAGCCTGGTGGTTAGAGCACTTACTTAGGAAATGGTAGACTTGGGCTCAATAACCTTCTCAGCCTAAGGGGCACATCCAGACAAGCGCATGTGCCTGTTGCGGCATCTTAAACTGCTTTGAGATGCCGCAAGAGGCACATTGGGAACAGAAAAATGTTCCCTGGGCTGCATATTTGCATCATGGGCTCTAAAATTTGATACTTGGAAATGCAGGTATCAAAAAAAAAACCCCACCATGCAAAAAAAAAGTGGTGCATGAGCACAACTGTGCCCTGAGGCAACCTGAGGTTGAGTCCTCTAGAGAGATACTCTTGACATCGGGATTGGCTCCTGCCACCACCTGCCCTAGTGGGGAAGGCCAGGGCCATTCACCATGTACAGACCATGGGCAGGTCAGGCTGCACTGTGCCCCGTGGGGCTGAGCTACAGTGGGCAGGGCACAGCTGGCTGCTGCTGCCAGCAACAGGGGCTATGCGCCAGGAGGTGGGCATGTGGCAGTCCCCACCTAAAACCCCTAAACCCCATATCCCCTCCCACATCTCATATCCTGTGTGCCCAGATACCAGACAGAAGGAAACCTGCTGGCTGGAGCTGTGGCTGCAGGGGCAGGGGTCCCCACATCCTGGTTAGTGGAAGGGTCAGGGGGAGATCTGATTTTTCTATTATTTTCTATTACAAAAAAAAAAGCAAACACCAAAGCATATAAATATTTAGAATGTATTTTGTTATGATGATAGAGGCAGTGGTAGGCTTTAAAATCGTAAATATATCAATAAGACATTGCCCAACTAATCCATCTCTCTCTCTGTATATAGATATACATATAGTGATGTTTCATTTTTAATCGTGGAAGAACATGGATTTTCACTAAAGAGTGAATTTTTGATTTTTTTAAATCTGAGAATTTGCAATTTTTAAACCGGGGACACCAGGATCTCTGTTGGTGAGGCAAGTGGCAGGACTCAGGCAGAGTAGCCTGCCCAGGGCTGGCACTAGGAACCCAGCTGGAGGGCAAATGAGGTGGCTGACCTCCTTGCCATTTGAAGCCAGGAGGACATGCTTTGGCAATTCAAAGCAGACCACCACACTGAGCATATCTTCCAGATGATAGCTGTCTAGATGGCAGGGTGGGGACACACACTGCAGCAGTGCCACATGAAGGCCAACTGTGCAGCCACAACCCACTGGCAGCTGGCCCAGAGGAGCAGAAAGCCCTGTTGCAGTGCCCATGCCACAGCCCAGGTGGCCATGCAGTCCCTGTCCAGGTCTAGCAGGCATGCAGATATGGGGCTGCAGGTTCGAGGGGGCGGATGCTGTCACAGGTGGCAGCAGATCACAGCCAGGCAGCAGCCCCTGCTGCCAGACCGCTGCATTGGGTAGAGGGTGTAGGGACCACTCTAGGTCAGGGCTGCCGCAGTAGTCTAGGTGGCACAGGGGGCTAGTGTCCCCATGCGTCAACTGGCTGGGCTGTATAAGCTCCCAAGAGCAAGTAGCCCTGAGGTGCTTGCCAGGGCAGTTTTTTTATACTGCTGCAGCTTACTATCCAGCCTTCAGGTCCCCCTGGCTGCAGATCTGGGAGGAGCTGGGAAGGGTGAGTTTGCCTCAAGTGGCACAACTTGCCCCACACCAAAGCGTATGTTCAGGCACTTGTGCTGAGGCACAAATCTCTGGCCCAAATTTGTGCCACTGCTGTTTGAGCTGCTGGAAGCGCACATGTCTGCATGTGTGGACACACCCAAGGAGTTCAAACCCATGTCTTCCTTTCCAAAAGAGTCAGTAGATAAAATACATGTGTAAAAGTAGTAGACCTTTAGCTTCACATTCAAACTGGGAGATAACTTGGTGGCTTTAGGCTGCAACTGAGCAAAGTTTTGGACTAAGGCTCCTCAATTCCACCTAATCCTGCTTAAGCATCCAAGTCTGTTACTGACACTAGCTCTTTGCGGCAGCCTGTGGAAGGCACCAGCTTTCACTCACATCCACAAAGCTAGCACCTTGCACTAAGAAGGTTAAAAACTACCTGAACATATTAACTAAATGTACATGTATGCTGTCTTTGAAATATAACTGAAAATTTAATAGCTTTAAATTTGTGAGGGAATAAACTCTAGCTCTTGTAGATTTTTTGGTTTGCAATCTTCACAAAAAAGTATAGAAACCAATAATTAAACCTGGGTTTAAATTGGTTTAAACTGTTGTGAATTCAGGAATAAACATTTGGAATAAAACAACTGCCAATGCCTTCCATGTATGGGCATCTTTTTTGGAAAGGTATTTATGAGCATTTAAATAAAATCCTCCTGCAGAGAAAAGATCCTTTGGCAGTTAATAGAATCTAACTACTGTTAGTGTGAACTAACGCACTGCTGAAATATGGAAATGTGTCTGTATTATTCCATGCATATGCCATTTGCTTCATTCAGATTTCTTAGATTTCAGAAGAGATTTACTTCAGGCTAAATAGGTGGTGCTAACATTTAAGTGGTCATAAAGATGATATTACAGTCACGTAAAATGCTTTAAGCAAGAGAATGGTTTAGTGTAAGTGATAGCAACTCTCAGTCAAATTCCCTGTACTCTCTTCTGAGCATACATTCACTTAGTCCAGTGACTATGCAGAAAATGCCTCAGAGTAGGGTCTCATTCCAGTTCATAACAGCACATACATCATATACCGATTAAATAACTAGTAATTGTGCCTACTCTAATGTTTTGTTGCCTCTCACTCTTTCTTAAACCCATGCTATTTTCTTAGAAAAACACAATGGACTTGCCCAGACATGCATGGACATTTGGTTCCACAGGGACAACTAGCAGTGGCATACCTTGGGCCTCAGCTTCTTGTCCCTGGGGAATGCCTATGCTTTGGCGCGCAGCAAGTTAACCCAGTGGCAGTAGGGGGGCCTTACCTGGGGGCCTCCAGGGGTTGTAGCTGTGGTGATCCTGCCAGGCAGAGCCTGGCTGGCAGCCACAGCATGGCTCCAGGCGTCCCGCCTCTGCTTTTCAGTAGCATGCACTGCCCTATTATTTTTTTCCATGGTGTTTTTTTGACCCCTGGATATCCCCTGGAAACCACGGAGAGAAAACCCAGAGCAGCACGCACATGGGCAGCACACCCTTACAGAGTGGAGAACACTGGACTGTGCGGTATGTGGCACCGTAATCATGTTTGCAACATCACATACTGCATGACCACGTTCATCTGGACATCCAATGTGTTCAAGTGAGACAGTGGCAAAAGCTACCAGTTGAAGTAGTACCAGAGTATTAGAAGAAAGAATAAGTCAGCATCACCACGAACTCTCATCCATTTGGGGTTCATTTCAAAGGTCTGGTGATAAAGGTATGTACCATGTATTTTAATGAGATATTTAACATTTCTTTTTCTTTTTTTAAATCCCACTCATTTAAATTGTTACAGCTGGAAAGGCGGTTGTCCTGAGCATGACAGAATTTTACATGTATTTATGTGACACTTCTTTTCTCCAGTAGAAGATCAGATGTTCCGTTCTGTGGAGGGCCAGGCTGCCTCTGATGAGGAGGAGGAGAAGTGGACAGGGGAGCAGCCATCTCAGGTGGCTGAAGTGAAGAAGCTACTGACCAGGCTTCCTTGTTGTGGCAGCGGGTATGTCTCAGAGATCAATGTTACGTATCCCTTTCTCCCACTGAGAATTTTACTCGATGATCTAAAAAGAGGTAAAAGGTACCATGGGCTCAGCAACAGGCTATGGAACCATGGTCCCTGGCACACATTATGCTTAAAGACGTGATTAACAAGTTAATCACATCTTAAGTTATTCCCCAGACACATGTTAATGCAATTAATGGCATAATAAAACAAGGAATAAACCACAAAGTTATTAGGAAAAAAATGTGTAATAACATCATGGCTGTTTCCTATTACACCATTAACTGAACATGTAGACCGGCTGGGGCCCACAGCTGTGGGGGCACATCATACACTCCTGTGGCTGGGAGTCCTGTCAGCTGATCCAGACTCTCAGTCGTGGGGACACACCATGCACTCCCACTGCTCCCAGCTATATGAGCTTTCTACTTGCCAGTGCAGGGGATGCCTAGGATAATAATCTTGGTCTCCCCCTGCACCAGCAGTAAGGCGTGATAGGATCTGATGTTCGATGCCACAATTACATCTCTTGCCATGAACATGTGGCATGGGAGGAAACGTGATTGTGGGGATTGCACATCAGATCTCATGGCACCTTTACTTGCACATCTGCCAGGTGTGTATTTCACTGAAATAAAAGATAAGATACCCCTGTGCTTGCACTATCTAGTCATAGGAGAAAGGTAGATCCTAGCACATATCAGAGAGGATAGTAAATTTGAGTAAGTGGGGCTTAGAAAGAAAATAAAAAGCAAGCCAAAGTCTGTATGGCAGGGGAAAGCCTGTCTTATCACCCACATGCTTCTTGAATCATCATCATTAAGTGTTTTGTCCCGTCTTTAATTGTTCTTGCAGTAAAAAATTTAAAAACACACTGCACAAACTAAATATGCTGATTAGGATTCCTAATGGAAAAATTACCCCCTTCTCTCAAGAAAAAGGATCTGCCTGCTTAGAATCTGCCTTTCCAGCACAAACATGCATACATTGAATGGGTTTTAGAATGTTCACTGAAGGTCTTGTGGCTGTGGCTTTGTCAGACCAGGGTGTAGGGACAGACCTGTTTTAGGATCAAGGACCATCCACTTAAGACACCCTACCTTGTCTCTTTTCAGTTATACAAATGTAGAAACTGATAGCTGAGGCACCTCAGCTTGTGTGTAAGAGGAAGTGGAACATTTTTACGTAGCCAGGATCCAAACCATAAAGAATTTAAGTCATTGCCAGTGCTTTGAATTTATGTCCTATGAGATATTGTGCTTCTGGGAGTTTTGCAGAAAACCAGCCATACCTCTTATGCATATTGATCCTGGCTAGGCATTTTTATTTACTAACTCCTTTTTATTTATTTTCTTAAACATAGATGTGATGACAAAATGCTGAAGAAGTTGATGTCTTATTTTGGAGATGCCAATAGTGATTGTCATGAGAATGCCACTGTAGAACTGGTAGAGAGAACTGTGAAGTTGACTGAGCAGCCTGAGCATAAAGGAAATGATACGAAAACGTTGGAAACTAATGTGGAAGAGGTAATAAGTGTTAGATAGTGTGAGAGAGGTTATTTGTATTGATTTCTAGACAGCAGTATGGATCTCTCATTTGCTTGCACTTGCTGATTTCTCACTATAACATCATTATAACAGGGAGCCTGGGGTTCCGGTTACTTTAAGGAGAAAAATGGCAGCAGACGGAGCCCAGACAGCTGAGACGGGTTAGCCACAAGAGAGAAGGCAGGAAAGAAACATTGCTGCCATGGCAGGGAGCTGCCCAGTAGAGTGAAGGGGCTCACCTGTGACCAGTCAAGAGAACTCTGCCTAGGGTGAGTTGGCTGCAAGGGAGTAGGCAGTAGGAGTAGGATGACTGCTAAGGGATGCTTTTCTGACTTCTGAGCTGCCCTAGGGCCTGCCAGTAAGAGACCAATGACTTATGAAGGGATACCACCCAGGGTACGGGGAAGCTATGCTACATACAAGCAGCAAGTTACTGCTGATGTTTGCACCTGGAGTGGGTTTAGTTTGTGTTACAGCCAGTAGGCTTGTTCCTTTGTTACAGGTTATCCTGCTGGTTTGGGATGGGACTTTCAGGAATTGGTGGAGGCCCCAATTGTGCCCAAGGGCACAAGAGTGTTTTGAGTCCTGCCAGGGCTAAGGGCTCAAGACACAGAGCAGGTAGAAGCCTAAAAGAGGTTGTAGTCTAGCAAGAGGTTGAAGCCTAGCATGGGTGAAAGCTAGACAGGGCAAAGTGGCCCAGACAGAGCCAAAGTAGACTTAGCACCCCACGACAGGGCAGAGACGGGGCCTGGAGGCCCAGAACTAAAGTTATTGAGATAAGAGCTGGAGCCCAGAAGCCAGGCCCTACAGAGTGACCCTGGGCTAGAAGGCTTAGTTAGAGAAAAGGGGTGGAGGCCAAGAAGGCCGAGGCCCCAATAAGGGATTGATTGTACAGTACAGGTTTCCTTTGCCAAGCACAGGGGTTAGGTTCCTGAAAGTTCCCGTGGTTGGCAAAACTGGTAGGGCTGGAGGAGCAGGGGCTGTGGGTGGGGGGAGTGAGAGGCATGAGCAGGGCCATGGGGGGTATTTTCAAACTGCACCCCTGCTGCCTTTGGCATGTGGATACTCAAAACTGTGGTTGGCAAAACCGTGGTTGGCGAGGGAAACCTGTAACACGTGCAAGGCATGGCTGTAGGGGAGGTTGGAAGCCATGAATAGCCCTTTCAGCTACAGGTGCCTGGTGGGGGCAGACATGGGCTGGGAGTCCCACTTAGCGTGAGTGCAGGACGAACACCAGCAGGGTCCAGGAGTGACCTGCTGGCAGTCAGAAGGATAAGGGCTTACTCTAGGACCCTTAGGCATCCTTCCTTTCAGTCATTCAACAGATACATCAAGGCATGGCAGGAGAGCTTGAAGGGAGCGGTATGCTGAAGCTCAAATAGAGAAAGGGTTGTGTGGTCACCAGGGGGCATAACAGTTACCTGTGGAGCCCAAACAATCATAATTCCATATCTACTCTCCTTGCACAACAGCAGCATTTGCAAGAACCTCCAGGTATTTAGAGGACAAGACTGACTCAAATCACATTTAAATACAGGCTGTTTTAACGGTATAATTTGTTTAAAACTCTTTAACTAAAGACTTAATAATTGAAAATAATAAAGACTTAATAATTGAGAAGACCCTCAGGAATGATATTCCCAGAGAAAAAAAAATGCAGGACAGTTTGCACTGGAAATGCAGACTTCCCTAATCTTCAACTGTGGGTGAAGGGTTCCTTCTATCCTATTACCAAATATCGGAGCTATTCGGTACCCCTGACTAAGTTACAGGTATTCACCATTCTGGAGTTCCTTCAGGGAAATCTTCCAGCGTACTCTAAAACTAAAGACACTTTGTCCATGGACGGGCATTCATTTATACTGGTAAGAATTTCATTGCAATTCTTACTAGTAGAAAAGTAGCTCAGGAGCTGGAGCATACATGTATTCCAGTCCTCTGGCTAGAGAGCTACATAGGCAACCTCTCCAGAGAGGGGGTACTAGAAGGCTGCACCTGCCCTCCTCCCCCATATCTCCCACCCTTAGGGGAACCCATTAATTAGCAGACTGTCTTCTCCTTTGCCTTGCAGTTAGCAGGAAGGGGCGAGCCCCAGGAGAGTGCCTCCCCCCACCCCCATCAATCAATAGTTGACTGGCAATGGAGGGGGCAGGGTCCTTTCTCCTATGGTGGGAACCCTCCCACAGAAAATAGCCACCACTCCTTGAACTCCTCTGGGCAGATCCAGGGGAGTGCAAAGAAATGGGGACATTCTGTCTTTGTGGAAAAACTTCCAAGCCTTGCCACTGCAGCATGGCAGCCTGTCTTATCCTGCACTGCTCTGGGCTGACTCATCCTGTCTTGTCCTGTGTAGCATGGTACCTGCTGCCTTTTGGTAATGTTAGAGGAAATTACTATGGAGTTGTTCCAGTGCTACTAAAAAAACAGGATGCTGTGAAAAAACATCCTTGAAGTGGAAGAATGTGTACCCATTGATTATGAATGTAGAGAACTGATGGGTACCCACTGAAAAGTTTAAATGCACCTCTCATTAGCTGGGTGTCAAACTAGTGTCTGGTACGTGGCATATCAGGAGGTGAGTATAATGATCAGAGAGGCTAGATATTAGGGAAATATCCCAGAGAAGTTTAGGAAAGTGCAATTAAACAAATAAATAACTTTTTTTTTCTTTTGCATTCTTTATTGTTCTGATTAAAAGTCAACCTTTCTTCCCTCCAAACGGAATCCTAAAAATCTCAGTTAAAATTGCATGGGGTAAAACTATATTTGGGTCAATATAGTGCTGTTGCATGGGAAGATGACTTTGTACAGTACCTTTCAGAGCTGCACTATAAGGGTACTGTGCAGGGTCATCTGTTCCATTATGGCAGGCTCATGCAGGCCAGAGATACAATAGCTGAGTAACCCAGCTTTCCACTCCCCTTCGAGTTCTCCCTGGCCTTTTCCACTGGAGTGGGAGGCAGCATTAATCCTTGATCATGGACGTAGGAGTTTAGAAGCTAGGAGTCTTGGTCAAGTTGAGACTTCCAGACCCCTGATTCCATTGCAGGCTAGTAGAAAATCTTCAGATACCAGCTCTGTACAGTCGATGCACTAATTTACCACTTGAACTGCAGAGCCAGGAACCAGCCCACAAGATGGGCTCTGTTCTATTGGACACTGTGATAGGACTAGGCCACATGGCTCCTGCCCCACTCCGACTTCTCAAGTTCACTCCCTTTCCTCTCGCCTGCCATGCTTTGATGGAATTATTTGATTGTAAGAAAAAGGAGTCTGCCGTAGGGTCCCAGAGTGAGCCCAGGTCTGTTCTTTGGATATCAGATCCCTCTTGGATCCAGCTGATCCCAGTCCTGCTCAAGCACTGAGTGGGGCTCTCCCAGCCCCGTCTGTACCCCAGGGCACTAGTTGCCTTAAAGGGCCATTTGTGGCCTCCTTCTGCCCCTACAGCCATGCTTATTCCTCACAGATGTTACTCTGTCCACAGCTGAGTTCTCTGTTTATAGAGACCTCAGATGTCTTGGCTTTAGCTCCCCTTTACTCTGGCTGCAGGCTTCCAGGCCCAGCCCACAGATTTTGGGCCTAGCTGTCTTGGCCTCAGCCCTCTCTGCATCTCCAAGTCCCTCAACCCTGTGCATTGTCCTAGCTCCTCTGGTGTCCCTAACCCTGGGCAGGGCTACTCTCAGTTCAGGTCAGTACCCATGGCATCTCTGAGCTGGGGTTAGGCTGTTTTCTGCTGAGTGCCCCTGCAGCACCCTTATCCAATCCACTCTACCAGCTACATCCAGTCCTCCAGTAAAACCTAAAACAAAAATTCAAGCAACCACTTGAAACTCAAAGTCCCCATCCCCACAATTGGGTCAGCATACCACTGCAAGGCTACCTTCCGACTTTTTGGTTCTCCCCACTCTGGCAGTACCTGCCATGGCCTGTAGCTTTCACTCCTCACCAGTCTGGGCTGACAGGAGCTCCTTTCCCAGCAGAATTCAGGACTACAGTGGCCTCTGTGCCTCAGGAGCCCAGGCTTATATCCCATGGCTCCTCCATTTCTTGTCAGGTGCTCCCCTGACACCCATAGGTGTGCCTCTTCTGCTTCCAGGGCAGCTTACTGCCAGTACCATTGCTACCTAATCAGGGGCTGCACTACTCTCCCACTGCTAAGCAGCCAGCCCCACAGTAGGCACTTGCAGCCTGTGGGCTGCTGGCTGCCTACACCCCTGCAGCTATGCCTTAGTGTGCTGTTTTCCCCACCTGAGGACATCCCTCCTGTGGCTCCTTACTTAAAGTAACAGGAGCCCCTGGCTCCCCATTACAGACCACAGCCTGTGTTTCATTAGAATCAAGTCAAAATCAATAGTGAAGGATTTTAGATTCTGGAAATTAGCATTTTCCAGCAAAACAAAACAAAATTATTAAACAATTTGCATACATTTTTTCCCTCCTCGTGTCCCTCAAAAATTGGGAAAAAATTGGAATTTAAAGTCCAAAATCCAGGAGTGTTTGAAGGCAGGGTTTTGGCTTTACATATCATAGAAAGGTTGAATCCAGAAATGCAATGCAGATCCCTTGCAGTAAGGGCCTGTCTTTATTTAAACCTGTGAAGTGTTTTCAATTGTCCTACAAATATTTGTTTAATATGCATTACCAGGGAATTTTAAGCTAAAGACAAAAGGGTAATAAGACTTTGGTAAAAATATCTTTGGTACAGAAGATGTTTCTTTCTTTATATTAGCATTTTAGTGCATTTAACTCTTTTGGCCCTTTCCTTGGTTATTTGATTTTTCTGTTGGATTTTGTAAGGGCAATAGCAGTTCAAGGACTTACTAGCAATTATCAGCCTGTATTCAGGGAACAAGTTTTTTCCTAAAACTGAATCTGAAAATGTGGGGTCTACTAAATGTGGGGTCTACTTATAAGTTGGGTCACCAGAACAATATGTTATTACCCTCTTCAGTGTGTGTGTGTGTGTGTGTGTGTGTGTGTGTGTGTGTGTGTGTGTGTAGATAGATAGATAGATAGATAGATGCACACATACTCTTCACTACATACCCCACCTGTCTCAGAGGGCATTCATTATGTACTGGACTGGTTGCTGCTGCATTGACGATGACAGTGTTGGCTTTATGTACAGGAAACTGTTTTTGTGCTCAGCAGCTACAAAATAGGATTTCAGCTAGGAATTCTTAGGTAACTCACTGGCAGAGGATGTAAACCAAGTCATCTGAAGTGCATGTTGTTCACTGTAGCTCAGAGTTGGAGATACTCTAAAAGTAGGGTTCATGTAGGGCTAATATAGTCAAATAATTTTAAGCTGATGTTGAGTCAAGTGCCAGTTAGAACATATTTAGCATACACTTACCTTTGAGAAAGGAATCTGTGGGTACATCTACACAAAATGTTTACTGCAGAGTAGACTAACTAGCTCCACAATAAACCTCTCAGCATCTATACTTGCAGGGCTGTTAGGCTGGAGTAAACTAATAAACTCTGCAGCAGGGTAGTAGTATTTACAAGTACTACCCTGCTGCAGAGTTTTTCACTCCACAGCACCGTATGTGTAGATGCTGATGCAGCTGGCTGGGGAACAAGGGTGCTTCAGTGCGGGAGCTGCCTGGTGGCTAGCCCCACACTGGAGCACCCGTGTGCCCCAGCCCCAGCCAGCCCATCCACAGTATGTTAGGCTGGGTTGGAGCAGCCCTAGGCTGGCAGGCTGACCCCCAGGGTCCCCTGCCAGCCAGGGTTGCTACAGCTTGGCTCAGCGTGCTGTGGTCCTGGGTGCACATATAAATGCAGCACCCAGGAGTTTATTGCATTGCATTAATATGCACGTGCAGACGTGCCCTATTTGGACATGGGATTATTTTACTTCTTCATTCTGATTCCAATTGTTCTTTAGAAAAATGAAGTTCCAGCCCATCTGTTAAGTATTGATTAAGATATTTTCCACCAAATAAAATCTAAGTAGCAACTCTACTTGAAAGCCTGTAGTTACTTCAGTCCAGCCCTCTCTAGCTAGTGCTAGAGCTGCAGTAAAGATGAATGATAATACCAAAAAGGAATAAACATAACCAGCAAACATGGAATTTTTCCCCCCAGAATTTGGTTCCTTAGTGTGATATATTCTTATCTGGCTTACGTTTGGAAACCACAATAGCAAAAATGATAAGAATTCTGTCTGCTCTGCCTGGGCCCAGTAATGAATGAGGACTAGGGTTTATTTTGATTTAATTAACTTGAGTGCTTATGCAAACCTGAAATTAATATTTCAGCGAAACATTTTTCTGACCACCACTTTTTCGGCTCTCTCTTTAATAGATCAGCCAATACACTGTCTTCCTGTTCCATGGTCCTTTTCCTATACCAGGCCCTGACCTCCAGCAAAGAGAGGCCTTGACTTACCCTGACTACATAGCAGCTTTGTGATATGAAAAGCAGGGACTGAGATGAAGTCCTTAGCATCAGAGGACTACCTAGAACCAGCCGGCAGCAGTGCTTTTGGAGAGAGAGGTTCCCAAGCATGCCCTGCTCATCTGCTCTTATTCACACGTGCCAAACACAGATATGTTGTAGTGGAGCTTTTTCAGAGAGATCTGCTCCAAAGCATGTAGCAGGCACAGATTTAGCATGTGTGACTGGAGGTATCTTTCCATGGGAATCTCCAGCATTCAGTGGAGCCATTGCCACGAAGTGCTGCAAAGTCATATATCCATTTACTCCCCAAACTGGAATTCAGGCTTGTTTTTATAGAAATGAAAACCCAATTCAGTGATTCTGTTACTCAGATAACATTAGCTTGTGGCATTTTCCATGCCTAAAGGAAGACAGTTCCTTCCACAAGAGAGTGTTGTGTAGGACAGGCAGGAGATGAGTAGAGAGATACAGCAAATCAGCAGGGTGGTCGGGGTGTGATAGGCACAAATCGTGACTGAGTCCAGCTTGGCTGCTGATTCTGTTCTCCAGATCCTTCATTGACTCTACCAGGTTGGTTCTACCTACTCTACAAGACTGTCTGTATCTTGGTCCTTGGATTGAACAAAGCCCTTAAAGACATGCAGGACCTGCTTATATAAGGAGAAGTTGTTGGAGATGGGAAGCAGCCCTTTTTTCTGTCTAAATATTCTGTTTTATCAAAACATCTTGTGGCAGAATATTGGTTTGGGAACTTCCAGTGCTTCTTTGGAACCTTTCCCTTATGTACAGATGTGTATAAATGCTTTCCTGAGCCAGGGTCTAAAATCCTTCCCCAAGAACCACCTTTTCTGAAATGCTTACAAAAAACTAGCTGAGCCACTTAAGTTACATAATACATCTGTGTTCCATGCATAGGCCTAAAGGTTGGGGAGTGTACAGACAACCCTCTCTGAATGATTCCCTTGGACAAATACAGATATGAGAAGGATTGAAGAAATTCAGAATGATAACAGTTAGGATTTCTGAATGGCCTGTTTGCAGTAAATATTGAATGAATTGTCATTAAAGAATTGTCATTAAGCAGAAGAGCAACCAACCATACATTTCGTAGCAACTATTACTTCTGTTGATGTAACGCCTTCTGCAGTATCTTAAAGAAATGCACTTCTTTCCAAGATAGTTTTCTGAAGTGAACTGACATTTGGCAGATAAAGTTTCCTCCTTAACTGCAATTTTTGTGGCAGAAAATGAAAACTTCCAGTGTTTTTAATTTTCTATGTCATTGTCCAGATGAAAGGCCCATTGCTAGGTGAGTTGCAACAAAAAGTGGAGGAGACGGAATTGTTGAAGATGGAGCTACAGATGTTGGAGACTGAGAGAGTTAGACTGTCACTGGTGGAAGAAAAGCTCATGGATGTTTTGCAGCTTCTTCAACAACTTCGAGATCTGGTATGGCAAGAGAACAGTCTAAATATCCAGAGCTGTTTTTAGCAGTGTCCACCCAAAAGTAAAAAGAGTACCTCTTTTACCCAAATGCAAGGAGTCCCTTACCTACAAGGCACACTGTTGCACACCTGTCAGCTCCAATGGTTGCGATTTCCCAGAAAAGCCTTGATTTCCAAACTATCCCCATCTTCCATACAAAGTATAAGATTAAAAAATAAAATTACTAAATCATAAAGTCCAGGCCTTTTCCAGAGCAGGCTATAGCCATTTGTATCCCTCCAGTAAGAGATAATCACATTTTAGACTGACATTAAGGGATCCATCAAGACTACATCTGACTTCCTAATCAGGGATTCTTCGACACTGTAGTTCCTTCAGAGCACAGAATGCTCTCCAGGTCCAATTTGGAAGTGGTAGAAACATATCCTAATATTTTTATTAGGATTTATACACAGGGGTCTCCTTATTACTACAAATCAGATCATGTAAGTCCCTCAAAATTGACTTAGGAGATGCAGCAGTTTTAGATTTGGTTATGGATGTACAAGAGACTGGGATTACTAATTTACAAAGAGCAAATTTGGTCAATTTTGGCACACATGAGATGCATCTACATGTATACTTTAGTAAGGAGTTGATTAATTAGCTGTGCTGTAAAGTGTCTATCTATATTTGAACTGCTATTAGGGTGAAGTAAATTAACTAACTGCTGTAGGATAGTACTTTTTGGGACAAGTACTATCCTATCGTGGAGTTATTTAGTACACTGAAACACATGTAGACAGTGACTAGAGCTGGCGGGGCACTAGGGTGCTATAGTGTGGCGACTTCTTGCCAGCCCCTGCTTGCCAGTGCAGGGACTGCATACCCCAGCCAGCCCCTCCACAGCCTGCTGAGCCAGAGTGGAGTAGCTCTGGGCTGGCAAGGTGACCCCCAAAACCTGCCAGCTGGGCCTACTTTGACCCAGCTCAACATAGATTCATAGATGTAGGGTCAGAAGGGACCTAAGTAGGTCATCAAGTCTGACCTGCTGCCCTGGGCAGGAGAGAATATTGGGCTCATATGACCCCAGCTAGGTAATTGTCAAGCCTCCTCTTAAAGACCCCCAAGGTAGGAGCCAGCACCACTTCCCTTGGAAGTTGGTTCCACATCCTAGCTGCTCTGACTGTGAAATAGTGTCTTCTAATGTCCAGCCTGAACCTACTCTCAAACAACTTATGGCAGTTATTCCTTGTTGCTCCGGGAGGTGCACAGGTGAACAGGGTCTCTCCCATTGCCTGCTGGTCCCCCCTGGTAAGTTTGTAGACAGCCACCAGGTCCCCTCTCAGCCTTCTTTTCTGAAGGCTGAACAGGTTCAGGCCTCGTAGCTTCTCCTCATAGAGTCTGCCCTGCTGTCCCCAGATCATGCAAGTGGACCTCCTCTGGACCATTTCAGTGCTGGCCAAATCTCTTCTAAAGTGCGGCGCCCAGAACTGGATGCAGTACTCCAACTGTGGCCTGACCAGTGCCGCATAGAGGGGGAGGATCACCTCCTTGGCCTGCTTGTGATGCATCTGTGGATACATGACAAGGTGCGGTTGGCCTTACTGACTGTGTCCTCATGTTGGCAGCCCATGTTCATTTTGGAATCAATAATGACTCCAAGATCTCTTTCTGCCACTGTGCTTTCCCCAGCCTATAGGTATGCTGCTGGTTCTTACTGCCCAAGTGCAGTACCCTACACTGGTCAGTATTGAATCCCATCCTATTCTCATTCGCCCACCCCTGTAACGTGTCCAGGTCCAGCTGTATCCTGTCCCTCCCTTCTAGCGTCCCCACCTCACCCCAGATCTTAGTGTCATCAGCAAATTTGAACAGGGTGCTTTTCACCCCCCTCGTCCAAGTCGCTAATAAAGAGATTAAACAATGTGGGCCTAAGGACTGAGCCCTGGAGGACCCCACTGCCCACATCCCTCCAGGTCGAATATGACCCATCCACCACCACTCTCTGGGTGTGGCCCCTCAGCCAATTTGCGACCCATCTGACTGTGTAGGCATCAATGCCACAGTCGCCTAGCTTTTTAATGAGAATGGGGAGGGAGACAGTGTCAAAGGCCTTCCTGAAGTCCAGGTCTTTCTTTTTAAATGCAGGAGGTCCACTGGTTCCTTGCTGAGCCAAGGGGGCTGCTGTGACCTTTTGCTGCCTTTCCTCCGGGACGGAATAGCCTTAGCTTGTGCATTGAAGATTGCCCTGGATAATCTTCTCAAAGAGCTTCCCCAGGATTGAAGTAAGACTAATGGGCCTATAGTTGCCTGGGTCCTCCCTCCTCCCTTTTTGAAAATGGGGACCACATTGGCCCTCTTCCAGTTGTCCGGCACCTGGCCAGAGCACCACGAGTGCTCGTAAAGCTGTGCCAGGGGACCCTCAATAACCCCTGCCAATTCCCTCAGCACCCTGGGGTGGAGAGCATCTGGAGCTGTTGATTTGAACCTGTCCAGCCCCTCCAGAAGTTCCCTAACTCAGTCCTCCCTGACCCTAGGCCTGTCAGAGTCTCTCCTGAGTCCATCCTGCAGTCCCAGGTGCACATGTAAATGCTGCATTCAGGAGCAATAAACTCCATTGCAAACTGTGCTGGAGTTTATTGCTGCATGTTAATTGCACATGTAGATGAAACCATGGTGGAGGTTTTGCTTTCCTGTGTAGTGTGGGCCGCATCTCATTTCTTAGATCTGAGCATATTAGCTAACTATTTTCCTGTAACTATTTTCTTGTCATTGTAGAGTGACAGGGCCTTGGCAGTATCTATCTCCCCTGATTTTACCTGTAACATGTTATAGAGTGTTTGTGGTATTTTGGCTATTGTTCTTTTTACTTGTGCAAGGGCTGGAACTGGAAATTTTGAGGATTCCAGTAAATGGTTGTCTGGGAATGTGGGGGACTGGACTGAATGGCCCGAGAAGCCCTTTCCAGTCCCATGTTCTTATATCTAACTGAGGTTCATAGGTGAAAAGCTAACAGAGACTAAGAAATGAATGGTTTTTCATAGATATTAGGGCTGGAAGGGACCTCAGAAGATCAGAGTCCAGTCCTCTGCCCAAAGGGCAGGAAGTCAGCTGGGGTCATAGGATCCCAGCAAGATAAGCATCCACTTTCGTCTTGAAGGTGTTCAATGAAGGCGCTTGAACCACCTCCGGTGGCAGGCTGTTCCAGACCTTGGGGGCTCGGACAGTAAAGAAATTCTTCCTTATGTCCAGCCTGAAACGATCTTGTAGTAGTTTGTGACCATTCAACCTCGTCATCCCTTGGGGCGCTCTGGTGAACAAACGTTCCCCCAGATACTGGTGGTCACCCCTGATAAACTTGTAGGTGGCCATCAGATCACCCCTGAGCCTGCGCTTTTCTAGGCTAAAGAGCCCCAGGGCTCTCAGCCTGTCATTGTAGGGTCTGCTTCCCTGACCTCTGATCATGCGCGTGGCCCTTCTCTGGACTCTCTCAAGCTTCTCCACATCCTTTTTGTATTGTGGAGCCCAAAACTGGACACAGTACTCCAGCTGCGGCCTCACTAAGGCCGAGTACAAGGGGAGAATGACGTCCCGGGATTTGCTTGAGAAGCATCTATGGATGCAAGCCAGTGTTTTGGTCGC